TGAATATTATATTCCATGCCCTGAGGTCCCTTAATGTAGAAGCAACTAAATCTTGTGTTATCCTGATTGTGTTTCCACAATACTTGAATTGTTTCTTTGTGGCTGCTTGTAATATTTTTTCTTTGATCAGAGAACTCTGTAATTCAGCTACAATATTCCTAGGAGTTTTCCTTTAGGGATCTCTTTCAGGAGGAGATTGGTGGATTGTTTCAATTTCTATTTTCTTCAGTAAGCTTTTGGACTTCCTTTTCCATTTGGCCAATTTGCTTTTTAGGGCATTCTTCTCCTCATTGGCTTTTTGGACCTCTTTTGCCATTTGGGTTAGGCTATTTTTTAAGGTGTTATTTTCTTCAGTATTTTTTGGGTCTCCCTTAGCAAGCTGTTGACTTATTTTTCATGAGTTTCTTACATCACTCTCAGTTTTTCCTCTACTTCTCTTACTTGCTTCTCAAAATCCCTTTTGAGCCCTTCCAAGGCCTGGGACTGATTCATATTTTTCTTGGAAGCTTTGGATGTAGGAGTTTGGCTTTGTTGTCTTCTTCTGGTTGTATGTTTTGATCTTCTTTGTCACCAAAGTAAGATAATATAGTCTGACTCTTTTTGCGCTGCTTACTCATGATCCCGGCCAATTACTTGAGTTTTAAACTCTTTGTTCAGGTAAAAGTCTGCTCCCAATGTGAAGAGTGTACTGGCCCAAGCTTTGGGGGTTTGTACAGCTGTTTTCAGAGATACTTCTAGGGACCTGTAAATTTTCAGTTCTTCCAAGTTGGTATGATAAGGGACAATGTGTTTTCTCTCCACCACCACAATAAGCTCCACCACACCAACGTTCCTCCTAGCCCCAGGACCACCCCTCAGAACTGTGACCCAGATCCAAGCAAGGGCAAACAAGAGATTCTTGCCTCATCACTGGCAAAGAGAACCCTGCAATCCCACTGTGATCAGCCACTTGATTCCCCCTCAGTCTGTGGGCCAGAAGTTCAGGAAACAGCCGCAGCCCCAGAACCCACACTCAAGACTTGCGGCTGAGACCTAGCTCCTTCGCTCACAGCAGTCATAGACTTTTCCCACTGACCTTCTAAGTTGTCTTTGGTGATCGTGGGTTGAAAAGTCTGGAAAACACCACAACTGCCCGGGATTCAGTCCTCTGAGGCCTGCTCCAGGGTCTCTGGGGCCTGAGTGCCCACACCGAACTGCGCTCCTCTCCCCGCCTGGCATGATATAACTTTCTGATCAACCATCCAGGCTGTCTGTGGCTGGAAATTTGTTTCACTCTTTCTTTTTGTGGGTTCTGCTGCTTTAGAATTGGTTTAGAGCCATTTTTTTAGGTATTTGGAAAGCTTTGAGAGAGAGCTCAAGAGAGTCACTGTTTTCCCTCCACCATCTTCAAGACCTCAAAATGGATAAATATTTACAAAAATATAAATTGCCCAGATTAACAGAATAGGAAGTAAAATACTTAAATAACCCCATCTCAGAAAAAGAAATGGAACAAGCCATTGATGAACTCTCTAGGAAAAAATCTCCTGGGCCAGATGGATTTACATGTGAATTCTATCAAACAATTAAAGAACAATTAATTCCAATACTATATAGACTATTTGGGAAAACAGGTGAAGAAGGAGTCTTACCAAACCCGTTTTATAGTACAAATATGGCGCTGATATCTAAACCAGGAAGAGTCACAACACAGAAAGAAAATTACATACCAATTTCTCTTATGAATATAGATGCAAAAATTTTAAATAAAATATTAGCAATTTATCAAAAGAATAATACACACATGACCAGGTAAGATTTATACCAGGAATGCAGGGTTGGTTCAATAGTAGGAAAACTATCAGCCTAATCGATCCTATCAACACCAAAACTAACAGAAACCACATGATCATCTCAATAGATGCAGAAAAAGCTTTCGACAAAATACAATACCCATTCCTATTAACAAACACTACAGAGCATGGGAATAAATGAAATCTTCCTTAAAATAATAAATGGCATCCACCTAAAAGCTTCTGCAAGTATAATATGTAATGGGGACAAGCTAGAAGCATTTCCAATAAAATTGGGTGAAACAAGGATGTCCCTCATCACCCACTGTTGTTCAATAACATACTAGAAATGTTAGCTTTAGCAATAAGACAAGAAAAAAGACATTGAAGTTATCAGAATAGGCAAAGAAGAAACAAAGCTATCACTCTTTGCAGATGACATGATGATATACTTAGAGAATCCTAGAGAATCAAGTAAAAATAACTTGAAATAATAAACAAATTTAGCAAAGTTGCAGGGTATAAAATAAGCCCACATAAATCATTGGCATTTCTATATATTACCAACAAAGCCCAATAGCAAGAGATAGAAAGAGAAATTCCATTTAAACTTACTGTAGACATTATAAAATATTTAGGAGTCTACCTACTGAAACAAACCCAGGAACTCTATGAACACAATTACAAAACACTTTGCACACAAATAAAGTAAGATTTAAATAATTGGAAAAACATCAAATGCTCATGGGTAGGCTAAGCTAATATAACAAAAATGACAATTCTACCTAAGCTAATTTACTTATTCAGTGCCATACCAATCAAACTACCAACACATTAGTTTATAGAATTAGAAAAAATAACAAGATTCATTTGGAGGAACAAAAGGTCCAGAATATCAATGGAACTAATGAAAAGAAAAGCAGGGGAAGGTGGCCTAGCCATTCCAGATCTTAAATTGTATTACAAAGCAGAAATCATCAAAACTTCTTGTTACTGGTTAAGAAACAGAGTGGTGGATCAGTGGAATAGGGTAAGTATGCAAGACAATGTAGTTAATGACTATAGTAATGTATTATTTGATAAACCCAAAGACCCCAGCTTCTGGGACAAAAACCCACTCTTTGAAAAAAAAAACTGTTGGGAAAATGGGAAAAGAGTATGGCAGAAACTAGGCATTAATCAAAATCCACACCATATACCAAAATAAAGTCAAAATGGGTTCATGATTTATATATAAAGACTGATAACGTAAGCAAACTGGGAGAGCAAGGAATAATTTACCTATCAGATTTATGGAAAACAGAAGAATTCATGACCAAACAGGAGATAAAGAATATTACAAAAAGCAAAATGGATAACTTTGATTACATTAAATTGAAAAGTTTTTGCATAAACAAATGCAACCAAGATCAGAAGGAAGGTAGAAAATTGGGAAAGAATTTTTAAAACCAGTCTCTCTGATAAGGGCCTCATTTCTAAAATATATAGAGAATTAAGTCAAATTTATAAGAATACAAGTCATTTTGCATTTGATAAATGGTCAAAGGATATGAACAGGCTGTTCTCAGATGAAGAAAGTAAAGTCATCTATAGTCATATGAAAAAATATTCTAGATTACTATTGATTTAGAGAAATGCAAATCAAAACAACTCTGAGGTACCACATCACACCTATCAGATTGGCGAAGATGACAAAACAAGAAAATGATAAATGTTAGAGAGGATGTGGGGAAATTCGAACGCTAATGCATTGTTGGTGGAGTTGTGATATGATCCCACCATTTTGGAGAGCAATTTGGAATTATGCCCAAAGGGCTGTAAAAATGTGCATACCCTTTGATCCAACAATAACACTTTTAGGGTTGTATCCCAAAGAGATCATAGAAATGGGAAAAGGACTCACATATGCAAAAATATTTGTAGCAGCTCTTCTTGTGGTGGCAAAGAATTTGAAATTGAGAGGAGGCCCATCAATTGGGGAATGGCTGAACAAGTTGTGGTATATGAATGTAATGGAATACTGTTGTGCTATAAGACATGATGAATAGGCTGACTTCAGAAAAACCTGGAAAGACTTATATCGTCTCATGCTGAGTGAAATGAGCAGAGCCAAGTAAATGTTGTACGCAATAATAGCCATGTTGTGAGATGACTAATATTGGTAAACTTAACCCTTCCCAGCAATACAAGGATCTAAGACATCTCCAAAGGCCTCAGGATAGAAAATGCTATCCACATCCAAGACATCCAAATACTGCAGATCAAAGCATATTATTTGCTATTTTTTTCTTCTGTTGAATTTTGTTTCCTCTTTCTGGTGGTTCCTTCTTTTGGTTCTAATTCTTACTTACAATATCACTAATATGACAATATGTTTAATAGGTGTGTATAGCCTGTATCAGTTGTGCGCTGTCTTGGGGAGGGAGGTGGGAGGGGGAGGAGAAATTTTTTTTTAATTGAAAAGCATATGGAGTGATTGTTGATAAATCAAAATAAATTAACAAAATGAAAGAAGCAAACCACATACAAAAACTATCAAAAAGTCACTGTGATCAGAAGTTTGAAGCTTTGCTTTCTCAGTCATTCCATCTTTTATCTGGCTTAAAATAGGATGTTACACCGTGCAGTATGAGTGGATCTGATATTCTTAAGTGGAATCTTGTGTAAAACTGGAATGATCATGTTGAGAGATGATATTTTATTTTAAAGGTAATAAGGAACCACTGGAGTTTATTGAGCAGGGAAGTGACATGCATAGTGCTTGTAGATTTTGAATTTAGTGGTTTTCTATACTATGAAAAGGGAGAACAGAGACTTGAGGCAGAGAGATGAATGGGAGGCTAGTGCAAAAGTCCAAGTGAAGAACTGAACGATGTCTCTTAACTCATTAGAGAGGAAAAAAGAAGATGTATCCAAGAAACGTTGGGGAGGTTGAACTAAAATGACATGGCAATTGATGGAATGGGCACATTTGCTCTCACCGGAAAGAAGGTAATTTCTTCTGGGAAGAATCAAGGCTTTCATTATGACTTCTTTCAGTATATAATATTGTGATATTATCTTAAGAGACCTGGAGTATGTGGACATTGAATAAAATTGATTGAATAAGTTCAGCATTATTTTAACTCATAAAATATTATTTTGGTAATTAAAAGTTACATCAAGTTAAGAATAAAAAATACAATGTCTATCACTTTGGGAATGTATCTTTTATCTTTAAAAACCCACCTGTCTGGTTGGAAATCTCCCCTTCAGGGCATGGGGTACAGTCAAAGCAGCAGATGGGCTGGCCTTCACGGATTGTCTTCTTGAATCCAGGGCCACAGCTCAGGCTGCATTTGGAACTTGGAGTCTGAATTTCCATCAAAGAGAAAGAGAAACTATCACTGTTAGAATGACTGCTGAAATTTAGATTCACTGAGGTAATGATGACTTCAGACCTCTCCTTTGAAAGACATTTAGAAAAAAGGATTTGCAATTCTTCATGGCAAGGATGATAAGTTTCTCAATAGAGACTTTCTTCCTATTTTTTCCTCTTCTATGCCAGATCATCTTTTCCCTGCTTTATGAACTGACCAGACTCTTCACTAGGCACAATCTCCTTGATTCTTTTTCAACAGTAATCTCACTTACACATTTCCTTTCAAGTACTTGATATTAGTATATCTCTAAAGTGCATTTCTTTTTTTCTACAAGTAATCCTGAGATTATTCATAGGCCACACAAGAGGAAATAGTTCCTTAATTTTTCACCTAACAAATACTGCTCTTTGTGTTTTGCTAAAATATTCTGAATTTTTCAGGGATTCATTACTTAAGAGAGTTTATAGTGTAAACTTTACACTATAATAAACAGTTACATTATAATAAGCAGTTCTGTTTGATTGAATCTAAGTAGGAATCAGAGATTTGAATGACTGATCTTATTCTTGGGCTGACATTTGGAGTCCCCTCTGGGACAACTGCAGAGAGGGTGGTGGGGTTTATTAAATCACACAGATAAATGGAACTGTATAAATACATACGTCTGACATCAGCAGAGGACATACCCACTACATTTAAATTGAACATTTCTAAAGTCACTCATTGTCCTCATTATGAACACAAACTCAGGATAAAATAGTTATATAATTACAGAATTTCAGATATTGAGTAACTTTTGGTGCAATAGGTTCTTTTGGAAATTTTTTTCCTTCCACTTTCCACTCTCTTGGTGTTTTTTTTTTTTTAAACTTGCCCACTTGATTTGGTACATTTCAAGACTTTCATAGTATGGTGAATTCAGATCATTATGTAACTTGGCTACAAAGAAGTGAATGTAGTACTGAGAAAAGAAAATCAGAGAAATTATAGTCCTGTCTAACTCAGAACAAAAAAGAAGAGTAATTGAATGCTACCACCTTGTTACAGAAATATCCAATGTCTTTGGGGAACCACACAGGACCAGTGAAGAAAAACAGCATACAGGACTCTAACAGGTTGATTTATAGAGCTCATATTATTCCCTGGTCCCTTACCTGAGAGAAATCTTCTGGCCAATCTATGTTTGCTTCATTAATGCTGAGTCCCTGATAATGAGGGATAACCTCCCCTACTTTTACCAGTGCCTCAATTCTGTCAGGGAAGGATTTAAAATTCAAGATATCGTATTTCTCAGCAGTCATCCTGGATCCATCTCCACATGACTCATCGCTGACACTTTTGACAGGCTTGATGCACTTCAGGAAGTGGTGAAGCTGAATGCAAGGAAGAGAATTTCTTAATCACTGGGGAAAGAATTCATGCCCATGTCCCATGCTTGACTATCAACATAAAATAAGCTCTGAATTTAGAGCTTCCAAAAGTTGTCATTCTCTCTTTTCTTATTTTTTTTTTATTCAGCTATCTTCAGGGCTTTGCACTCTTTTTATCCTTTTTCCTAGGAAAACATGGACAACAGAAGAATAACAAAGCCAGTAAGCAATAATGTGTTATAGATGTTAAAGTTACCTCAAAAGCCATTTCATCATACGTTCACCAAATCCTGATTTTCTTCTAAATATCTCTTATCTCATGCATTCTGAGTTCTTTTGTAAAATCCTGTGGTCACAGAGAACTCGACATTTTCTCTAAGCAGAGCGTACCATTTCTTCCCCGTTATATTGTGAGTTCCTCAAAAACTGGATTTTCTTACATCTTTCTTTGCATGTCCAGAACATAGCATAGTTCCTGGTATGTAGTGGATGCTTCAGAATTGTGTATTGATGAATTGTTTTTTCAGAGAAATCTTCCTTCTTGTACAAAAGCTTCTTTAATTAAAAATGTCTATTAGAAGTCTCTTGAGTGGTTGATAGCATAAACTTATGAATAAAGGAGAATTTGACATTCATAGTGAGGCAATACAAGGCAAAAAGGAAAAGGAAATACAAATGATTAAGAGACTAAACAATTTAGAAAATTCAATGAAGCAAAATAATTAGGAAAGAAAATAATTGCAATAGAAGAAAATGTGAAAGAGGTTATAAAATGATTGACTGTAAGGAATTGAAACAATAACACAATATGAGTAAAATTTGAGAAACAGAGGTTTCAATAACAGCCAGAAAGTTATTTTAGATGAAAGAAATCTGGAAGTCATAGTTTGATGGAAAGTATTGAAGAAAAATTCTGAGGAATTAAAAATGTAGACTGAGAAGAATGAAAAGATGTGTGAACTCTGCATTCTTCTCAATGAGAAATACTGTGGTCAGATTTCATTATTCCATGGAAAAAAATGAGAGAATTTAACAGGCCAGAAATTAGAAATGCATGCCTGTTGTTGAGTCATGTCTGACTCTTTGTGGCCCCATGGCCACAGGACACCAGACCTTTCTATCCTCCACTATTTCTCAAAATCTGTCCAAATTCATGTTCACTATTTCCATGACATTATCTTTCCTGCACCATCTCCTTTTCCTTTTGCCTTTAATCTTTGCCACGATCAGAGTCTTCTCCAATAAGTCCTGTCTTCTCATTATGTGGCTGAAATATTTAAGTTTCAGCTTCAGAATTTGAACTTCCCATTAAAATTCTGACTTAATTTTTTTTATGTGTTGCTGATTTGGTCTCCTTGCTGTCCAAGGAAAACTGAAATGGCTTCTCCAGCACTGCAGTTTGAAAGCATTGTTTCGGCAGTACTGAGTTTCTCTTATAGTCCAAGTCTCATAGCTATACATGACCAGTGAAAAACCATAGATTGGACTATGAATTGTTGTTGACCTTTGTCAACAACCTTTAATTTAGGTGATCATTACATATATTACTGTAGACAAGACTTCCTTAGAAGATATGTAACAGCCTTCATAATCAACAAAAAGCTGAGAAAAGTAATCCTGTGGCATAATCTCAAAAATGACAGAACATTGTCTATTCAAATCCAAGGCAAACTTTTCAACATCACAATAATAGAAATCTGTGCTCTAACCACTGATAATGAAGAGGCCAAAGTTGATTAGTTCAGTGAAGAGCTACAACATCTTCTGAAAATAACATAACAAAAAAGATGTCACATTCATCATAGGAGATTAAACTGCTAAAGTAGGAGATCAAAACAAAACTGGAATAAAAGCAAATAAAGAATACATGAAAACCAACTTGCATTGTACAAATTTTCTAATGTAGAAGAGTAAATGAGAAAAGCAAATAAAATATATAAAATCTCCAGAAGGTACAAAGAGAATGCAGTTAAGGGCAGGCACATTCCAGACAAGCCAAAAGCACGTCCTGCCTCAGCAAGCCATCAGGAGACCCTGAGCCCCAGTGCATCACTACACAAACAGGTAGATGCTGGCATCAGGCTCCACTGTGTGCATCAGCCTAACACCAGGTGAATAGTCAGGTGTCACCAATAGATACCCCAATGTGTCTCCATGCAACACCAGGCAAATGGGCAGACACCATCACTAAGCCTTCCCATAGACCACAAGGCAGCACCAAGTAAATGGGAAGATGTCAGCATCTGGTCTGCCAACATCCCTCAGTCCAGCACAGACAGCTACTAGACCCCTGCAGCCCTAGTGCAGCACAAGGTAGCCACATGGGGCCAAGGACAGCACCAGTGCAGCACCAGGCAAACAGCCAGGGCCTGAAGAGTCTAGCACAAGAAACAAGTACCTCTTCAACTCCAGGAACAGAACTCAACTTTAAAAGTGGAAAAAAGGCTAGAAAAGTTGAACAAAAAACAAACAAATAAACAAAACTCATGACAATAGAATGTTATGGTGACAGGGATAATCAAGAAACAGACTCAGAAGAGGACAACAATGTTAAAACACCTGCACTCAAAGACTGCAAAGAAAAATGTGAATTGACCTTATGCCTAAAAATACTCCTAGAAGAGATGAAAAAGAAGTTTAAAAATCAAATAAGAAAGGTAGAAGAAAAACTGGAAAAAGAAAGGAGAGCTCCCACATTCTGCATTACTCTTGTCAGTGAACCTCTAAAGTCATTCCACCTAAGTCAAGATGGTGGAGTAAACAGTAAACCACTCTCTCATATTCACCTCAAAACAAACATAAAATAATGGTCCATAACAAATCTTAGAACAGCAGGACCAGCAAAAATGGGGTGAAATAATTTTGCACCAAAGAAACTTAGTAGATTAGCAAGAAAAGTCTGTAAGGTGAAAAGATCTCAAGTAAAAGGGGCACACAGCCCTGGACAGGAAGCATCCCAGAAATCCAGCAGCAAGCTCCTCCTCAGGAAACCAGAGGGAGATACTGAGCCCCAGTTCAGTGCAGCAGTCAAATACCAACACTAGGAAGCCTGCCCCTTCAATGTGCCTCAGCATAGGCAGGCGAATGGGCAGACTCTAGCTCCAAGAACCCTCTACACGCTTCTTCAGCCTAGCCCTGGGAAAACAGGCAGCTTCCAGCTGCCAGAATGCCACATGCTTCAGTTTAGCCCCAGGTAAACATAGAAACACCCCACCAGCCTCAGTACATGCCAGACACCAGGAGTAGGACTCTGGCTCAGCACCAGGTAAGCTGCCAGGCCTCTACAGCTTCCAGCAGCACCAGCCACCCTTCACCCAACTCCCTTAGTGCAGCAACAGACAGGAGGAACCCCCATTGGTCTCAGGGCAATATCAGTGCAGCACCAGGTAAAAAGCCAGCCTCTTGCTCAAGAGCCTGAGACAGTGCCCCTTCCACTCCAGAAACAAAACTGAAATTTAAAAGGAAAGAAAAGGCAAAAAAAATATGAACAAAAAACAACAATAAAAAAGAATCTGACCATAGAAATATATTATGGCAACAGAGAAGATCAAAACATAAACTCAAAAGTAAACAAAAAGGTCAAACACCTGTCGGCTAAACCCCAAAGAAAAATGAGAAGTGGTCTTAAGCTCAGAAAGAAATCATGGAAGAGCTCAAAAATGAGATTCAAAATCATACAAGAGAGGTAGAAGAAAAATTGGGAAAAGAAATGAGAGTGACGCAAGAGAATTATGAAAAGTCCACAGTTTGGAAAAAAAAACAGCTACTTAAAAAGTAGAATTGGCCAAATGGAAAAGGAAGTATGAAAGCTAATAGCAAAACAACTTCTTTAAAGTTAGAATTGGACAAGTGGAAGCTAATAACTCTATGAGACATCAAGAACTAATCAAATTCAAAAGAATGAAAAAAATAGAATAAGATATAAAATATCTCATTGGAAAAGCAACTGACCTGGAAAATGGATCCATAAGAGACAGTATCAGAATCATTGGACTACCTGAAGGCCATAATGAAAGGGAGGAACTGGATGGCTTCTTTCAAGAAATTATCAAGAAAAAAAATTGCCCTGATATCCTCAAACCAGAGGGCAAAATAGTGATTGAAAGAATCCACCAATCACCTCAGGAAAGAGATCTCAAAATAAAAACTCAAAGTAGCATTAAAGGCAAATTACATAATTATCATGTCAAGGAAAAAAATACTGCAAGTGGCCAGAAAGAAACCATTCAAATACTGGAGAGCCACAATCAGGATTACACAGGACTTAGCAACTGCAACATTAAAGTATCAGAGGTCATGGAACATGATATTCCGAAAGGCAAAGGAAGTAAGACTACAACCAAGAATCACCTACATGGTGAAATAAAAGATTATACTTCAAGGGGAAAACGGTCATTCAATCCAATAGGATTTCAAGCTTTCATAAGGTGAAGGCAAGAACTGAACAAAAAAAAAATATCCAATATTAGGACCCAAGAGAAGCCTAAAAAGGTAAAAAGTGAAAAGAAAACAAGGAATTCAATGAAGCTAAACTGTTTAGATCCCTATATGGGAAGATGATACTTGTAATTCTTAAAAATTGTACCAATAATAGTAGAACTAAAAGGAAGATACATAGACAGAGGGTATGGGCATATGGTGAATTTGAGGGAATGACATAAAATAATAACTAAGGGATGAGAAAAAGGAGTACATTGGGTGCAGAAGGAAGGGAGAGATAGAATGTAGTAAATTATTTCACATGAAGAAGTGTCAAATTGGAAAATTTGATAATCAAAGGGGAGATTAACAAAATTGAAAGTAAAAACAAAACAAAACAAAACAAACTATTGATCTAATAAATAAGAGTAGGAGCTGGTGTTATTTCTAGGAAGAAAAAAATAAAAAAAGAATGATAAATCATTAGTTAATTTGATTTAAAAAAAGAAGGAAAAAATTTCCAATATAAAAATAAACAGGTAGAATTCACCACCAACTAAGAATAAATTAAAGCAATCAATGGA